TTGCCTCAAGTGCGCAAGGTGGCTGTGAGCAATATGCAACTGATTTCACTCGACTACCTGTAATACTGTATTGTTTAATGCTTGGCTAAAGATAGCTGGGACACCCGATATAGGTAGTATATATACACAAGTCTGTTTAGCAGGAGATATATGTAGTATATGCAGAGCAAATGCACATGTTAGACTAATCAGAATGAATCGCTCCAGAAATGCTTTAAATCTAGTTGCGATGCTTATAATTTTCTTTACTTTAGTAATTCTTGTAAATTTGTAATCTAATTAACTGTTTTGTTTTCTACCACAGATTTGACAACTTCAATCTTGTTTTAATGTTGTTTTGTTTCATCAACTCTGTCACACTGACACATACCAAATCCTTCAGTCAAAGAACAAATGAAAGCAAAGAATCCATCAACTATAACATGCTTGCTGTTTCCATCAGCAATTTGCCGTGGTAGCTCAGAGACTACCGCGAAATCCTGAAAAGGGAGGATAATTTGACAAGATTTCAGGGGGGAGGGGAGGGGCAGAGGGCTTGCTTGGTCATGGATTGAAATTGAAGGATTGTGGAAGGGGAAAAGAGGCTGCATATTTTAAATCTTAGAAGAAAAGAAGGGGAGACTTGCTCGGGTAGAGGTGCCTTCATGAGATTTTACACTGCCGAGCCCAAAGATGCGGGTTCGATTCCTGGGTACCTTAGCTGCGTTTCGATAGGGAAAAAATTCAGAACAACCATGTTCTTTGATTTAGGTGTACGTTGAAGAACCTCAGGCAGTGAAAATAAATCCGGAGTCCCTCACTATGGTGTACCTTGTAATGTTAGTGTAGTTCTGGCACGTATAATCTCTATTTATTCAGTCCGCTGACGCCGATTGATTGTTGAACATCAAGTTTTTGTCGATTGTCTAACGTATCTCTGGTACGTCCTTCTAACAGCCAACTACATGGGCATCTGGAAGTGTATAGCCACATTGCAAGGCGATGGCGGTGTGGTCCAAGGGGACAAGCAGGCGGCCGAGATGTCCTCTTTTCCTGGCCAGACTGGGAGCTCGGGTGGCATTACAACTCCGCACCAAAACTCAGCCCAAGCTGGTTCAAGAAGAGTGCCTTGGCATTGATTACACCTGGTCCTTTCAATTCCCTCCACATATTTCTCGCTGTAGGAGAGGACCATACGGCAATTTTTGCTGCGGACAAAAGGGGATGTGAATAAATGTGCGTTTTGTTTTTGTATTGTGGCCTCCTGTGCTGGATTTCTAGCGAAATGTCCTGGAAAAGTTCTTTTCAGGCTTATTGCTTTTGTCTCGCATGTTCTGTCAGACTAGGCAGATAAAGTGGATTTTGCAAGCATGTCTTAGAGCACCGTTATACAAGCATACACCGTGATGCAAGCATGTCTTCGGGTACCATTGCACACAGAGACTTCGAATAACTGAATTTCAGACAATTTAAAATTTCAGCTTATGCAAACAGACCATAAGTTTTGATTGCCCCATTCACATCAATCATGAATCTTGTGTAACACAAACATTTTGACTGAACAGGTGAAAAAATTTACAAAATTGACACTTAAAGGGAATGATTAGTTGTGATGTGACGACATATAGTATGCAGTAGGTTATTGAAAGGTGCTGCTACAACGTAATGGAACCAACTGTGGTTGCCATAAATTCACATTATAAATATGATAGAATTTTAAAAAGGCAAACGCACACAGCCTGTCGTGTTTACAAAAGGCACTGACACAAAGTTTCAAGCTAAAGATGTGTCCTTCATTTGATTGCTCAGTATACTTAGTCTAGAAGAACGACACAGAGACAGCTCCTGTTCCTAGCGTGGCTGTTCTATTATTTGCTTCGTCGTCTTCTCTCGCTCACCCAGTTAACGCTAGAACGCCTTGTTGTGCTCTATGTCATTTCGCTCGGCCCCGACTGCGAGCGTCTCCGGTGGGTGGCATTGGCTATTCCGGAGTAGCCGGGCTCGGCCACGTTGGGACTTTGCCTGGAAGTTTTCCAAGTGAGGTTGCGGTGGCCGCCCACTGGCTGTGTCGTAGCGGTTGCAGGTCTGAGATGCACTGTGGTCTGCCTTGGAGTGTCGCCGATGATGGCTCTTGCTGATAATGCTGACAATCATGCAACCGCACGTTGATCTGCCGGCATGACAATTGCGGTCACATGGCTGTCGAAATTATACTCTCTCACGGTTTGGTATCGAATGGGCACATGCTTGCTGAACGCTGGATGCGAACCAGCTCAGACGTGTATGCGACCTGCGGCCCGGGTTTCTCTCGGGCAAGTTCCCTTCATGGTCTTGCGAGGCAACTGGTGGACATCACCCCAAAGTGGCTGAGGTGCCGACGAAGCATAGAGTGAGACGTCACAGTGGGAAGCATGAACGGCATTCTGAGTAACGGTGGGCAATGCACCGTCTTGGCATCACCGGGGTAAGCCTGCCCTTGAGCCACAGAGAAGGCCTGAACGCAGTCTTCGAATGGTAGCATAGGTGCTCCCGACTGAACTTGAAAAGCATCCGTCACCTGGAAGTTGTTTTATTTCGATGGCAAAGAGTGTACGAAAGCTGAACAGGGCTTTCAGCATACTGCGACATCATCATTACTGTCATGTGCTCGGTGTGGCCTATACCATCCTGAGTGACAACGCACTAGTAGTAACAATGTTAACGATCTGAGTGCTCTTATTGTGGTGCCTACTGGCACAGTGGCACTTTCGTGATTTTTCTTTAATTTGTATTTGTATGAGAGGTTGTACGTGAACCTGTGTTCTAATTGCATGATCATTTGTTCTAACCTGTGTTCAGATTGCATGATCATCATGTGTTCAATTGCATGAACTTCTAATTGCATGATCATTTTTCTCTTTTAGCTTTCACATTTTGATGGCATGTATGATTTCACATTCAGAAGCTTCACGAACACTGGAACCTGTGCAGGTAGGGTGCTGAATTCAGTGTGTAGCAGCCGCTAGGCTTGCAAAAAATTGATTCAAAATTTTCTCAATTAATTTACACATCAGTTTGATAGGTGGCTTGTGCTAAATGGCTTTTGGGTTGCCTTGACTGCATATACTTCCTCACAGGATGGGGGGGGGGGGGGAAATGCCGCCATGCTGGGTTGCGCGCAGGAGTACAAATTAAGGCTGAAGCTGAAGTCACAGCCTCGGTAATGCATTTTCGGAGGGTCACGCCGATTAGCGCAGCCCAGAGAGGGTTATGGAGGCGTCCAAGGAACCGTGAGTCGCAAATCTGTATAACAAAGTCACCACTCTATATGGTATCGCCTGATTGCTAGAATTGCGTGTTGCGTTTAGAGCTAGATCGAAGTATAAAACAATAGGCTGGTAAAAAAACCTGTTAACTCTGGCCGCACGTGTTCTGTCTTGCGTGTCAAAAATAGGCCAATCAATGGACAGAAAATCGCAGTACTACTATATTGACATAAGAACCGCGATTCCTGGAACTTAATTTTATGAAAGCTAGCGTTCAGTTGTGAAGTTTTGAAGCAAGACACCCACATGCTGTTGGAAAATGTTTTATTTATTACACAGTGAGAGTACGATAATTAAATATAACTCGCGCACGTGAGACCAGAAAGTTTCGCGAAAGGCAAAGATTCATAAAACATATACAAAGAATGATAACTATAACGGTTGTTCCATTTCGTTTAAAGTTTCAATGCAATTCATCATAATCATGCAGTCGCTTTAGCAGCATCGCACGAAAGCGTTTATTTTTCACATGCCGAAGCGCACAGGTGTTTTTCCTGTAAGACGATGCAAGAAACCATGGCAGCGCATCATGCGAACGCTGCGATAACACCTGCTAAAGCAGCTGCGAAAATTCAGTCGACGAGTGCTGTCGCAAGCGACGTGCAAAACATTCTCCATTCGCGCCAACGCGCGGGCCTCCTCTCGCGCTTCCACGAAGGCAAGGCCAAGAATTAATTTCTGTCAAACTCGAATTGTTACCCGGCCCACTGCGGCGAAATGCTACGCCCCCTTCGCTACCCCTCGTGCATTGCGGACGCGATTATGCGAATAATTGTAATACCTCTGACGTTGCCATTAACTCCGAAGGTCGCCCTTTCAATATAGTTGTGAGTGTTGAAGATCTTGCAGGTGCTCTTTCGGTGGTTCCACGAGAAATTTGAGAAAAATCGGAAGCCTCTTTGCATGCCAACAAACAAATTTTGCCCGGAGGACGTGCTTAGGATGGTTGGAAAACTTCAGAGGGATGTCGTACTTGGACACTTTTTTAGCATTAACATTGTTCTGTAATACTGTACAAAAAGCGCTAACGTAATGCCATAAATGTGTGTGTTGCTATCTTTCTCTATTTCACAGCAAAATAAACCCGCGGCATGCAAAAGTTTGCGGTAGCCTTCCAAATCCGACATCCCTGTCAAACCCCGTCGTGACGTCAGAAGCGTCAATCTGAGGTAGGCTGTAGTTTTCTGTAATTGACGCCGCCATTTTTGACGAAGACTGACACCTCGGTAAGCTGCCACTCAAACCGTCGAATTACCGCTCACGCTCGAAAGCACGGCATGCGCGCTCCTAAATGCCGTTGTCACGATCTCGAGGAGCGAATAGGGGAGGCTCGCGATGCGTGGGGACGTTACGCAAATGCGCTGTTGCGCTGCGAAGCGTGCCACTTCTTCACGAAAGGAGGAGTTTGCGCGAGTAAATTGACAGGTGCGGTTTCCCCCGCCGCTCTGCCGCGCTGTTTCACCGCCACTGGCCCTTTATTTTGACGGCGAGTGCGGATTTTGCACATCGTGTACGAAAGCCGTAACGGGGCACAATGTTTGCATTTCTAGTTTCGCGATTCGTGTTTGCGTTAGAGCGTGGTCGTACTGCACGGGCAGCTATGTTCTGCATCCACGCCGGCGGGCGAACTCGCAACAATTTGGGCTTTGAACGCGATAAAGCGGGCAAGTGCGATAAAGCGTGCGTTTCTGGCACGGTGTCTGCACGAGCAACTTTTCCGCCGAGCGGCCGAATGTCGCAAACGCGACGGCTTGGTACGGACAGGTCGCTTATTTAAAACAGGATTTCACAGGAAACCTGTTTCAAGATTCTAATCAGTTTTAAGCGGCCTCGCGATGCGCTCAGCGTCGAGTTTTTCCTGAAACATTTGTTTCAAGGATCGCGGGGACAGTTGATTTACGGTTCCCGAAGGTATGGACCCGTTTATATTAATTCACGTTTGTCCGAGAAGGGTCACAAGTGCGTTAGGTTGGTGTCACGTTTTTTTCTTTTTCAGCTATTGTTGTCGACGGTAGCAGCGTCCCAAGGACAACTGCTGAACGGCGTTATTCACCGAGTGCGACGTGTGGGCGAGATCGGCGCCTCATCTTCTCGTGTATCTGGCCTGTTTTCATTTCCTGTAGAGAGCTACGCGCGCTGGCCAGCGACGCGTTCACCTGCGAAGCGAATGGATCATCGACTCGTTCAGTGATGTGTCCAGCCGCAAATGCGTCGACGTCGGAAGAGTGATACACCGCGCATCGCCTCTTTCTGGTGAGTGAGAAAACTTGCTCATTCATTTTATTATTTTTTATTAATTGTTATTTTTAAGAACGTAATCGAGTAGTTGTCGCAGCCCCGCAACACCCACTACTGTTGCTTCGCGGGAGCAGCAACATTCATTCTTGTACAGTTGTCTATTTTAGTTTTCCTTTTGCTGTAGCCGCGGTCTGCAGCGCTGGCGTATTTACATTTACAAAAAAAAAAAAAATCTAATCCCACAATCTCCAACGTTCGTACTGCACCTCATTGCAGCCGTGCTTCTCAGGTGTACAAATGATATGAAGTGAGTTGTATCGTGGTGATTGAACTGCTAGGTTTCAGCTAAACCAAAGCCCGTAAGGAAAGCACTTATTTTGTTGTGTATATAAAACTTTTCGACATCGCAGCCTAGTTTGGCATGTTGAGCTGTTACAGATGCCAGGTTTAATGTGCTACGCGTCAATGTTCTCTTATTTATCGCTTCACTGAAGTGAAAAATCGAGTGACTTCTATCATGAATGCCCTGTGGTGAATCACAGATTGTTTGGGAAGGGTTGACTTCAGAAACCATTGGTTGTTTTTTTTTTTGTTCTTTACCTCTGTGGTTTTCTCTTTTTGAGTGGGCTGTGGTTGACCAGATCATTTGTGGGAGGCTTTGATTGGAGTCTACGTGCCCTTACCCACGCATATTGTGCACTTGCCAGTAAGGTGGTCACTTCTCTTGTCTGTATGTCAGCATTCATTTTTATCATTGTTTTTCACGAAGGGAAAAGAGCATTGTTGATCTGGCACTCCTTTCCTATTAACAATTACCACTTAGAACAAATCGCATCTCAGTGACTTGCAAGGCTAGACAAGCAGGTTAACAACCTTGTGCTCTTCACTCTGCTAACCTACTGATCAGGGTAATTGCCACTAAAAAAAAAAAAGAGGAGGGGGGGCTGCAGGATATGTCTTCTTAACTTTTTTTTATCTGGGCATATGTTGAAACACTTGTCATAGTCATTTATGCCTTGGGATAGCATAAATGTGTATTGTTTTAGTAATTGAAATAAAAATCACAATGCATTTTTTTTTTTAGTTCTCAAGCAAGTTTGAGTAATATAAACACGCATAGATTGCAGAATCATGGCTCATACTGTGTTTCTATGTTCACACGAAAACCAGTCTGGGTCTCGCCTCACTTGGTCCTCTATGAAATCGAAACCGACTAAGTGCTATGAAGTGGCCTTCAAAGAATTCGCTGTCACGTGCTCAAGCATGCAAACGAGCTTTCCAGTCGTGATAAGTGGGTCATTTCACTACCTATTGCAACAGAAAGAACAAGACGTAAAAGTTTTGTGATAGGGCCCCTTTAAGTACCTAGCCTGTTAGCTTAGCAGCTTGCAGCTGCCAAGCATGAGCATCTCTCATAACTGTATTGTGGTTAATTATTGTTGTGAGGATGCAGGTTTGATTTCTCTTTTGAGCATGGTCTATCAGTGGTTGAGGCTTCTATGTGAGAGAAACATTATAACACAGCACACAGAAGCATGAAGTAATCTAGAAATCATTCCCTCTTCTCTCTACCGGTGATGCTGTATACCCAAATTACTGCGCCATAGACCCAAAGGCCATGGCCATTGGCTGATCTAAGCATTATGAGCTGTATGGTTACAGTACCTGCTAAAAGGTGCCACCACGTGCTCTCGTGATTACACTGAAAGGAACTTGCTTTTTGGAAAAAAAAATTGAAGAAAATAATCAGGGCCATGATGCACGCTGACAAAGGGCTGCATCCTCTTGCCCTGCTGTCAACCCCTCCCCTTCTTCAGTGCTTACATTTTAGCCACTCAGTAGTATAGAAAAATAAGGGAAGTGCTCTTAGATTCTAAAAATTTTTGTGGCAGTCCAGTCATGAGGCGATAAACTCTTTCAATGAAGCCATTTGACGAATACTTGAAAGTAGGCTGAGTGTTGCAGGTGCTCTTCAAATTTAAGAGCATATCTGTTAAGACCCCTAGGTGGTTCATATTAATCTGGAGTCCCCCATTATACTGTGCTTCATTATCGTGTTACTGTTTGGCATGTGAAAACCTAGAAATAAAATTTCTAAAATTACAGTAAATAATTGGAAGGTACATAAAATTGACGTGGCCATCCCTGCAATTTCGCACTGTGCAGTTGGCTGCTAAGGAGGCCTAGGTCAGCTGCCACGGCGTGATGCAGGAGGCATCGAGTCGAGGGGACACTGCTGTCAGCATGCCCAGTCTGCAGCAGCCGCTTGGCGGCAGCGGCCATTGCTCAGATCGGGACTCGGTGCCATCGAGGGAATCCTCTCCAACCCCTGCCGCACCCACGTCACCTTCGCCATCTCCCCTGACGCCAACTGACACCCAAACACAAGCCCAACTTGAAGCCGACAAGAGGGCCGTTTACAAGTGAGTGAATTCTCATGACTCAAAAAAAGAGCAAAAATTTAGCTGAGCTAGTACGTTGTGGCCTGGCTACTTTGTGCAGGGGAAGATGTGAACAGAGAAGTGATAGGCAATGATGATCTCGGGCAGAATAGATGCATACATGCAGTATCTATATAACCCATAGGAGTCTCAAATCTGGTGCTTTGCAGATCGTCCGTGGCAGCCTTCTTGGCTGTTCTTCATTCAGTCTTGTAGCACAGTGTATTTGGTAAATACTGTTTTTTTATAATACTTGCCTTCCAATGCCTGTCATCATAGAAGCCAGCACCTTTCAGCGTGGCTTGCTCACCCGTGAGCAAATGTATATGAATCGCGTGCCATACTGGATGTCGTACCATCTAGCATTTCGCCAATTGCCATCAACCATACTGCTGGGCCAAAAATATGTTTTCCTTTTATTTGCTGGCACGTCGATTTTTAGTGCTGCGCAGTGCATTTCCATGATTCAGTTCTCAGTGAGACCGATTCGGTTGACTTCAGGCACCCCCTGTTCCCTCTACTGGCCCTCCTCTTTGAAAAATGTGAGCGAGCCACTCAAAGTGCCGAGGCCCCCTGCTCCGAAAGCTTCAGCTCAGACATCCAGGCTTTCGTGCAGCACCAAGAACAGGACCGCAAGCCTTTCTTCAGCGACGATCCCGAAGTGGATGGCCTGGTAAGCCTTTCAGCTTGTTTCTCCTTGAATATTGTCATCTTGTGTGGTGAATTGAGTGGAACAGCCTCCTTCGTATTTGTTGCTATTGTCACTGTTGCTATTGTCATATGTATGCTACAGGTCGAAGGCCTCTTTCGGCAATCTCCAGTTACACATGCCATGTGTCAATTAAACTCACTGTGTGCCTGCACCATGATTACACCATATAATTCTCTACGATTCTTGACAGAATGTTCTTTTTTACCTTGGCAGAGATCCGATCGCGGCAATATATCTCCACTAATTTTTTCTATACATTGTGTGGCTTGTCCAACTTCACTTCCTTTCTTACATATAGCATGTCGGCCACCTGTATTTTCTATTTTGCAATGGTTAACTAGAGCTAAAGTAGAGCAATTTTGCCCCATTGCACTATGTTGAATGGGAATTGGATTAGTTCATTCGCAGTGTCTTGTACTTTTCTGCAAGTGCAAACCGTGATGTGACCCAGTGCGCGCCTCATGACTGAGTCATCTGCATTAAAGTCCACCGTGTAAATTGAGATCGGTTACTTCCTGCTCAACCTCGTGTTTGTGCGCAGATGGTGAAGGCAATCCAGGTGCTTCGCATTCACCTGCTCGAGTTGGAGAAGGTGCAGGAGCTGTGCAAGGACTTCTGCAACCGCTACATCGCATGCCTGAAGAGCAAAATGCAGAGTGAGAACCTGCTCCGGTCGGCCGATTTCCCAGGCACGGGGTCCCACTGCGAAGGTGGCAGCATGAGCGACACAGGCTCCTCATCTTCGTGCTCTTCGCCCCCACCACCGGTGTCTAGCAACCCGTCTCCCCCTCCTGCCCACTCTCTTGTCACTGCCACTCAGGTGGGCTCAATTTGAAAGGCTTCCGTGGGGGAGAACCTCTAAAGTGATGCTAATAGAAAGCTAGTTTTCCTCCTGCGTTTAACCCACCACAGTGGTCTAGCGGTTATGGTGCTGTAAAGGACTCGAGGTTGATGGCATGCTGCCACCAGTTGTCAAGGGTTCGGGGTTCATGGCATCCCATCGTTGCCACCAGTTGTAAGTGCTCGGACGTTTGGCGAGCTTCCTTATGATAGCTGGCTCTGTGCCGTCGTCCACATAGCCGATGTTCGCCAGTGAGGAACGCATTCTTGGAGACGGAACGAAGTTTTATTTACATGATGCAAGAGAAATGGAACTGTGCAGTGATTCGGCGCTTATGTACAAATGTCTTCGGCTTTTATAGCCCGTCGTTTCCTGTACACGACAATTTGATGGAGGCGATGACCTCTGTTGCCGCACATCAGTTGACGTTAAGTCTCAGTGATCCACCCACCAGAAAGGCTGCAGACATTGGACCACTCGGCTGATAAGGAACATGGGCAAAAATGTCCAAATGGTAGCAAGAGCGCCCCTCACAAAGACTCACCCGGCCCACGCCTTCAAGACATTGCAGGGCGAGGAGGTAGAGTCTGGTGGAGGGGGAAAGTTGAGCTCCTCTGTGAAGAAGATGGCTGCTGACACGAACGTCAGCAGCGGTCCATGGCTGCCTTCAGCTATAGTGTTCCAAATCTTCCAGAACACGGCAGTCCAGGTGCTCGATTCCTGAGAACTGCTACTTCGATGCCTTTCCACGCTTCCGAACTGTCGGTGTGTTGTCACGACCTCGCGTAGGCGACAATGGCTGAGTGGAGAGGTTGACTCCTTGAGAACTGCACTTGAGTCCTTGAAAACTGACAGTGATGTCTCGTGCTCTTCGACCCCACTCAACAAAGGGTTGTTTGCAAAGCTTTAGTCGAGTTCATTGTGACCCGACCACAACAAGCTGCCTAGGCTCACCTGCAGGACAGCGTCGTGCGTGGTGCTTCCGACCAAGCGTCGACATGGCAGTGAAAGCATTCTTGCAGACCGGCTCACGCACAACGGCGTATGCTAAGACGAACTGCCAGGCCAAACATAACAGTGCTCAACTGCCTTTCCACGCTTCCGAACTGTCGGTGTGTTGTCACGACCTCGCGTAGGCGACAATGGCTGAGTGGAGAGGTTGACTCCTTGAGAACTGCACTTGAGTCCTTGAAAACTGACAGTGATGTCTCGTGCTCTTCGACCCCACTCAACAAAGGGTTGTTTGCAAAGCTTTAGTCGAGTTCATTGTGACCCGACCACAACAAGCTGCCTAGGCTCACCTGCAGGACAGCGTCGTGCGTGGTGCTTCCGACCAAGCGTCGACATGGCAGTGAAAGCATTCTTGCAGACCGGCTCACGCACAACGGCGTATGCTAAGACGAACTGCCAGGCCAAACATAACAGTGCTCAACTGCTAATCCAAAGGTCATGGGATTGAATCCTGGCTGTGGCAGTCGCCTTTTCAATGGAGGCGAGAATGCGTGGGGCTTGTGTACTTTTATTTAAATGCAGTGCTAAAGAATAGCAGGTGGTCGAAATCGCTGGAACCCTCCACTGTGACATCGCTCATAATCATACTGTGGTTTTCGGATGTTGAACCCAACAATTATTATGATAACTTTGCTCATATTAGTAAACTGCCCTGACACGATGCAAAAACATCGCTGTCGCTCCAAGAATGTGTGGGGTAAGTGAGCCAGATTACACCCAAAAAGTAAATATAGGTGCTGCCACAGCTTTATGCTTTTGCACTGACTTGGTATAATATCAGGCTTTGAGCATCTGCTAGGGCCTGCACATTTCTTTGTCAGTGCATTAGGTTGTGTTCTAAAGGAGCAAGGGGCTTAACATGGCAAGTCGGAGAAAATTTTGTGTAGCCGAATTGTGAAAAAAAACACTAAATCGGCTACGTCACAGTCAGGTACTTGGGTTTCTGCAGGAAATTCAAGAATGAAACTTTGAACTCAATTTTGTCTTCTAATAATGAACCTCTGATTGCAAAATCGATGGCAACAAAGTTCTCAAGTAATAATTTACCAATATAAACTGGTTTAGTCTTTCGCATTAATGTGCGTTTCATGCGTTATTCTGTAATTGCAACTACAGAAATGCTACAGATTTATATTGCAGAAAGACAGCCCTGCAACACAGGGACAAGGACAGCTTCTTTTTGGTGTTCTCCTTATTCTTTTCTTTGTTAGTGTTTTTGTACAGGTGCCTTTCTTTGCAAGCAAATGGCCTCTAATGCTGCCTTGCATGAAGAATTGGTCTTAATAAGTTTTTTGTGAAGGGTCTCTAAAATACCCTGATATCAAATGCTTAAAGTCGTTTTCTTTTCTGCCATTGACTTCTCTGACGGGCACTTTTTCCACCTTGCCATGCAGCACTTTTTTCTTCTAGAACGTGCTTGTATCTGACAAACAAGCTCTTGTAATCGAGTTTATCCTGCATGCCCGTCATCAAGATTACATATTTAAGGAAGTTGAGCAAATGGAAGCTGTATACTCTAATTTTAAGTAAAAAAGGCTACTTAATTTGCATGCTAACCTCTGAATGTTCTCAAACACCTCCTACAACGCACAAGTTGAGGGCAGTTTCAGCGTGAACTGCTGCGTAGTGTCGTGATCCCCCCCGCTGATCACCAGTTGTTGTGATCCCGGGGTGCTGTGGTAGCGTGGTGTAGCTTCGGGTTGAGGAAACGAGCGCTTACAAGTTGGGGATACGAAAAAACAAACAGGTTTATGGCACTATTTACAAATATTTACAGCATGAGGTTAAGAGTTCACAAACCACGAGCGTGGTGGTTAAACCGCTACACAGTTCAGAGCCTTCACAAACTACGAACGTGGTGGTTGAACCTTTACTTGGTTCAGAGCGACGTCCTGCACTCTGCGGCGCCGTTATAAGCCCTGTCGGGCTCCTCCTTCTTCAGTGGAACACCAATCACATACACACACAACAGGTGAGGGGTACGAGCATGCACGGCGCACGTGAACAGCCAATTTCGAGTCAAGATCACTGCACTTAAAGGTGGCGCCAGAGAGTCTCTTGCTCGTCGTGTATGTCGCTGGTCGAGGGGTTCCAAGCTTCGGACAGCAGACATCAAACGGTCCGCCAATCTGTCCGCTCAATTAGCAGGGCACTTTGTGGCGGCGGTCGCCATTTCTTCAAAGGAATACGCTGTCTTTGTTGTCCCCTCTGGAACGGCTTACCGCCTCGTGGCGACGTGACGTCTCATCCGCCGGCTGGCAGGGACAATACCTGGCGGGCATGGCTACCTCTTTGAGGATTAAAAGAGCGCCGCTCCCCCTTCATTTCTGGACGCTGGTTCCGAGAAAACTGGGTTCTAGGCGTGGGAACGCTGCCCGGCCACGCTTCTCAGCGACAGCATGGCGCCTACTGATGCCGGTCATAACAGTAGATAGTGGAGGTCTTCAGTGGGTCTGCATGACACTGTGAAACTATATTATAGTATGTATGTACTTTCAAGAGTTCCGTATTTACTCGCATAATTTGCGTGCCCCTAATATTTTTTGCCAGCTTTACAAAATAAAAAACATATTTACTTGCATATTTTATGCCCCCCAACCCACCCGAGTCAGTTCGCCAGTGCGTGCACTAAGAGACTGTGGCCCTTTAGATTCTTTAAACAAACGCGCTGGGCATGCGCCCTGCTGAGCAAGCAAGTGCAGTCAAACGGGCTGCGAATGCGAAGTCACTTCTTTCGAAGACTTCCCCCGAACTAGGTTCCCTAGAATAGCATGCACGAACACTCAAATCTGTCGATGCGTGACCTGAACTGCTCGAGCACTTGTCTCCCTCTATTTCTCCATCTCTACCACCGTGCGAATGCTCGCTTGCGTCCCGGAACAGACAGTTTTTGACAAAGGAGGCATGTGAGTGCCTGTTAGACTTGTCGCGCCAACTGTTCCCTTTGTTCTCTCAATCGGACCTCTCGATCAGTGATTCTGACTAGACTGAACGTGACCGGATCTGACTGGTTAAAGTACGAGTTAATTCTGTTAAATAAACAAGTACACTTCATTTGTGCTCCAATTTATTTGATTTTCTTTAATATACAGGTGTGATCAAAAGTGTGCAGACCACGGGATCGCGTGGCAGAATGAATTGACGCGCCAGCTAGCGCCGAGGCATGACGAGACACTTGCTGCAGGGCGCATGCGCATCCCATCTTATCACTTGGCTTGTCATGTCGCTCTGTTGCACGCGGTTGCGGCGCTCGTCGACAAAAGGGCAACTGCATGGTGTCGCTTTCTTTGCTTCATTGAATCTGTGACGTTCTTTTACGTAGCGGCTGCGACGGGGCCAGTTCAAACGCCAGCTCGTGTTGTAATTGACACTGGTTGATTAAGATAAGTAAGCATAGCGAGCATCACACAACCTGACGAAGCCAAACGCACAAAATTAAAGTTTCTGAGGCCAGCTTGCCTTTGTTAGGCCAATCTAAGTTGCACGTAAGTGAGTTTAGTTAAGTTAAAGTTAATGTAGCCGAAATAAATCAAATGTAGTCGAGCACTTCATGACTTAAATAAGTCAGGCGTAAGTAGGTTTAGTTAAGTTCAATACAGCTTGGCATTTACATGTTAGGCGATGTTAGGCTTAGATGAGCCGAAATACGTATAGCCAAGGTTGATCATGCTCATCTTTAACATGATATGTGGGGTATAACGTGCCCAAGTCACCATATAATTATGAGAGACGCCGTAGTGGAGGGCTCTGGAAATTTCGACCACGTGGAGTTCTTTAACATGCATCCAAATATGAGCACACGGGCCAGCAACAGTTCCGCCTCCATCGGAAATGCAGTCGCCGGCAGCCGGGATTCGATGCCGCGACCTGTGGGTCAGCAGCCGAGTGCCTTAGCCACTATAGACCACCACGGCGGGGCATGCTCATCTTTAACCTAGCCGTGCAAAATTAGCCTATACAAGGGAAACCTTATAGCGGCCAATTATTCTTATGTCAACTTCTCCATGAGCCCGCAGTTGTCAAGGTCGGGAAAGTACTAATTACTCTTCAGCAACTCCCTGCTAGTTAAAATAGTTTATGTATAATTAGTTCTAATTAATATGAATACTATTATAACTTAATGTTAGTCTGTAACCCAATAAGTACCCTTTATGCTGGAATTCCATGTGGCACAATTAGGCTAAATTTGCATAACTAAGCTAATTAGACATAAAAATTTGATTAAGCTTGGTTGGTCATAGAATCATCAAACCAATTGGATTATAAGAAGTTTTAATGAAGCAACACCGTATTAAAAATAATTAATGTAATTGAAGTCGAATTCTCCTGAGCTCAGGGAATCCAAGCTCAGCAAGATGCTGATTACTCCTGACCAAGTGGAGTCTCGTATACCTAAATATAAATCAAATTAGCCTTAACATTATTTATAAATATATGTGCTTGACATCGAAGCCCACCCGAAGTACTCTATAGTTTGATGTCACAGAGTTATGCAAATAACGCCTCGATCAGCCTGATGTAGACATCTGTAGCTGCATAGGACGCTTTTGAGAGTAAAGGTGTTTAATGCAGTGTAATTATTCATGTTTGATTAATTTCGGTTACCTTGACTTAACTAAGCTCATTTAAGTGCAACTTGGATTAGCTTAACAAAAGCAAGCTGACTTGGGAAAATTAATTTTTGTGCCTTTGGCTTCGTCGGGTTGTACGATGCTCGCTATGCTTACTTATACTTATCAACCGATGTCAATAACAACACGAGCCGGCACTTGAAACGGCCCCGTCGCAGCCGCTATGTAAAAAAACCGCACAGATTCGATGAAGCAAAGAAAGCGACACCCAGTTGTCGTTTTAACTACGAGCACCTTAACCACTGGAGTGACATGTCCGTAGAGCCAATGGGGACAGTGATTTGGAAGCGACAGTAGCGCCGTCTGGATTTTGTAGGGAATCGTAAAAGATTTCTAAAAGATTTCGATATGACTATTTTACGAATAAGTGAAAAAAGTTTCGTTACCTTCTACACATAAATATATTTTTGAACCAAATATAACTAAGTATATTGTTTGTATAATTTATGATTGCGTATAAAATTAAATAGGTTTCAAAAGCACCAGGGTGTTTCGATATGGCGGCTGGCCTTCCGCATAGCAGACGACATCGTCGTCGTCTGCTTCTGTGTTATGGCTGACCCGCTCATTGTAGCAGCCCCCTTTCTCAATTTCGATTGTTTCCGCATAGTACATTGCAGTAAAGTGCGCAACATAAGCTCATAAGTATCTTGCATACTTGCTTTAGTAAGTTGTGATGCCGCATATAAATTGAGCAAAATGACAACGCTGGTCACAAGAGCTTGCAACAATAAATTGTTTTATTGCAAGTCAATCGATCGATGTTTACACTAAATAAAGGCCACGTAAGTAACATTTTAGCACGTACAGCAGTGAAAAATATGCATGCATCAGTGTTCATGTGCAAAGAAGGTATACGTACTACGCATAGCTCCAAGGCAGATGATAGCTCCAAGGCAGATGTCCGCAGCACAGAAGCTGTCCAGCGCTGGCTGATGTATCTATCACACTGCACGAGACCTTCGCTGCAGTAAGTAAGGGCATACCGCTTACGTACCTGCACTTGTGTAGCTCAAGATTTCGCAACTACTCCTTGACAGTATTTGGTTAACTCTCTGTAATTGGTATCAACATAATTGCGTGCCTTTCACGAGCAGTGCGGCGAGACTGTCTGTTTCTTGGTCCGCACTGCCAACTAAAGTGCGTCACTTTCCGATTTTCTACGTTTTCTCACTTTGCATGCGTCTGAATGCCTGAAATTGATTGAGGAACAGTTTTTTATGCTTACTATTCCGAAGACTTACAAATAAAATTGTCTAAAAAAGACTTCGTTCAGTTTCGTTTACCTACGTGGCCATGTGCGCTGTCGTCGTTTTGATGGTGGCGACTCCTCACACTGTGGCCGCGAAGCTCGCAACATGCCACTGGCCTGTCTTAACGGCGTACAACAGAGCGACATGAGAAGTCAAGTGATAAGACCCGACGGGCATGCGCCCTGCACCAGGTGTCTCATCATGTCTCGTCGCTAGCTGGCACGTCAATGCATTCCGCCACGCAATCCTGCGGTCTGCACATTTTTGATCGCACCTGTACATACTTCAGTGCATTTGGACTATTGCACATTATTTCATATGCATTCGTTGAACCCCCCGTAATTTCTGCAGCCCTCTCCTTGGAGCCTCAGAATCCTGAAGTGCACAAATTATGCATGTAAATATGATATTTTGTTCGGTTTAGCAAATGGTGTACAGTTGTATGGGAGTGAGTGTGTGCATGTAAAGTTCTGTGTTGACTCGTATCTGCATTACAATAGGGTTAGTATGCAAGAACCCCAGGTGGTCAAAATTAATCGGAAGTCTTTCATTATGGCATGTATAATAGTCATGCAGTGATTTCGGCAAGTATATTTAGAACCCTTTTGAGTTATTACATGTTTGGTGAAGTTGTCGGCAAGAGACTATGGGTGTGCTAATAGTGGAATTTTATCTCGAACCGCACAGTGCCAAATAATGGCCTAAAATATCCAATGTTGGGTCTAATATCGAATAGTATATTTACACAAAATGTGTACTGCCTGTTACGACATAGCAAAGAGAAAACCAAAAATCTGGGACACTACGGCATGGTCACTCACAGCCTAAAACACGTGTACATGTGTCTGTGTGTGCGTGCACGTGTGTTTCTTTCCCCTTGGCTTTTATGGGCGCTCAAGCATGTTTATAGAAGAGCCTCCATTCCAGTCATCCGCGCCACTGCTTATCTCCTAACGGCTAACAAAGTGTGGTACAGGATATAGTTTTTTTTTTCTTTTATGGTTGCGCAGTGTGGCTCTTCTGACAACGGTAATGTTGTGTTTTATTGTTATTAGTGCTTCAGGTGCAAAAATCTTTGGGCGGCCATTCACAACAGCATGTTAATTGCACACCAGAACGATTCGAGTTTCAGCATGAGTGGTGTGGTTGAGCAGTGGCGATTTCTTAGTACATGTGAACAAATGTTTGTGTGTGAAGCCAATTATTAATGGTTTCGGGGGCCAAAGTTGGGAAATTTTTGGAAAGGGTGGCATATGTGACTGAACTAATGAAATCTCTGCCTTCATTTTGGGAGTGAACTTCGGGAGGGCCTGATAGTTTTCTCAGACTTTTTTTTATATACATGCATAAATAACATTTTTTTTAAATAAACGTGCTAAATAAACAACATTAGAGTTTATGTTGGTCACCCCACCATAACCAAGTTGTACCATTGGCATTTATTGCATTTTAAATTCCTTCTGTCAAATTATTCGAAAATTTTAATACTAGCTGTTCAAAAGCTAAGCCAAATTGTTCGATTCGGATTTGAAACTTACATGATTGCAAATCCCTACTAAAGACTAACGTTTGTTTCACATCCAAAATCAGCCCATAAAAGGGTAGGCAATAACACCTTTTTTTAGAGTTCTATAAAGCAAACGAGGTACTAGCTTGTGCTGCAGGTGATGGGAGTGCTTGATGTTATTAGTTTAGAGTCGTGCGAAAAGGGAAGGCAGCCCTTTTCTGCATTGCAGCTGCTGCGCGTTGCCAACTCATGCGTCTCTGCTGTTATTTTTTTTTCTTTCTGCCTCTGGTGGTGGTGCAGGGCAACTGCCTCTCGTCTTCTGCTCTGAGCTCTGGTCAGGTGGTCTCGGGGGGAACAGTGTTCCAAGTTTTACAGACCACGGCTGGGTTCGTGGCACAGCCCATTCAGGTAGGGGACACAAAGCCAGGGTCCAGGCAGCTACGGTATTTACATGATAGTAGGTCGACCCATTCTGTGTCAATTGGAAATGCTGAGTTGAGGAGAGGGGTGGACCTAAAATCTAAAACTAGTTTCGGTTGTGAAGTCTTTCTGAAAACGATTCTTATGTATTCCAGTGAAGCTAGCTTTTCTGTGTAGCTTTTAAGCACTGGCTGCCGTGAAGCCATCTTGTCACATCGGGATTCGACTTCGTTTTTTTTTTTTTTTAAGACATCGTTATTCATTTTTTTCCTGCAGAATTTCAGGGGTGTCAATCTACATTCAAGTCGACTTACCATTGTGTAAATACGGCAGGTTGCCTCTCAGATGAAACATTTTGGAGTTGCCAGCTACCTGTAGCAGCAAACAGCTGTCATTAATTCAAGCTGGGATCAGTTTTCCTCTTAAATCAATGGAGATTTTTTATTGGCCACACATCAATCTGTGTTAATGAAAATGTACTTTTGCCATCCTGCTATCAGCGAAACTCTTTTTTCAGTGAATTTGAATGATTGGTGAGCGCTCTGTTTCACTCTTTGCAGGACTTCTGTAGCGATGAAGCCTAATTAATTTAAAGTAGAAAGCAATGTATGAAGCAGCCAATAGTTTGTCATATTGTGGGTAATAGAATCTTGGCGGATGGCTGTGCTAATACAATAATTATGCATCAGTGATAAATCCCTTGTTTTTCATGGTAACATTGTTAATTGCATCGCTCTTAAGAGAACATGAATACTCATCGTGTTTGTGATTTCTTGGTGTGCCAGTATTCACTGATGTTCTGTGGCTTTCCTATATTTCAATTTTCTTTAGTTAATGTTGCTATAGTTTATATGCATGCATGCAGCCTTGCTTATACAAGCTGCCTGGCTTCCATTGCAATCCACCAAAGTGGTTGTGTCTACCTGCTTGAGAAAATTTCAATGAAGTAACTGCCTGCTGAACTTGCTTGAGACAGTCTGATCCGATAGCTGGTGTTCTTCACTCAAAGGAATGGCATACTTTCATCAGCTTTCAAGAGTAAAATCGATTGCTAATCACTGGCGTGTCATCCTGTTTCAACTGCTTTCCTGGTCACTGTACATTTACTGAAGCACCTGTAGTAAGTACGACCTGAGCTTTTATTTCTTGCTTAGTTCCATTGATTATTGCAGATGGAATTTCTGTTTTTATGCTTTGGATTAGGTCAGGTTAACTGAACATTGTGATTAACCTCAAGACTTTACTGCAGCACGGACAACATTTAATTGTGCCATTTCAACTGTTAATACAGCTGCTATTGAGCTACCCTGCCATTAACCTGTACATTGCTGAACTTCAAACCTTGTGTGCTTTACTTTCAAGTTCTAAAGAGTGTAGATATCAGACTGTGTAGCTTGTATATTCACATCTACATGAACGTATTATCATATTTGAAGACATGTGGCAATGCCGGCAAAAAGGCAGCTACGGGACATTAAAAACCTATATGAATTCTGCCTTAGTTTATTTTGTACTATATAAAATGCTCTCTGTGATCCTGAAATCAGAGAGCTCTACTCTGATATTGTAATGTTGAAGTGCTGGTTCATATATTAGGGGCAGTAGCAAAGCATCTGTTTGCAAAGCTTTCAATCTTCTCACCTTGACAAACAAATTTTGTGTTTGTGTCTGCGTTGAACTCTGCCTCATAGCTCACCTTTATTTCAGATCCAAACAAGTGCAACTCTGCCTGTGATAGCGTCAATCCATGGTGGGACACCATTGTCTCAGATTGGTGCAAACCTCTCCTCCTCTAACCAAGACCATCGTGTCTCTAACCTCGGTTAGTTTCGAAGATCCAAACATGCATCTAAGGAAAAAAAAAGAAATGATTCTGTGCATGCATTTAATGAGCCAAGTTTTCAGCCAAATTACCTGTGGTAAAAAGAATAAGCTGTTGAAGAAAGAGTGTTTTGCTCGTACTTTTCTCATTGAACTGTATGTAATGCTTTTTTTTTTGTAGCTAAATGGGTGTGCTTATGGTTCATTGGTGTGTTAGGTTGTAACTGTACCTTTTTCTGAGTAGTTTATTATGTGGAGTTGATGAATGAAAAGGTATTGAGATTGTTTTGTAATAGCATTACTGATCAGGTTGCGTGAACACATAGTTCTTTTGCCATCTATCCAAGAACTTCAGTGTCCGCATTTTTCATGGCTAACATTTCTGCAGAATAGTTGCCCAAATTTTCTCTTGTCTGGCTTTTGAGTGTTATTGCTTTTATAATTGTGCCGATTATGTCAACCATTCGTGCATGTTGTCAGACCCTGTGGAGTGAATATTGCTTGCATGCTGGGTCTAAGTGATTGGCATGACCATTGCGTAGACATTGCTGTTGTCAGTTTGTTTTGGTAAAATATGATTCTATAGTCATTTGTGTAAGCTGTGCTTGCTGTTGTTCTTTTTCTAAGTAATGCATAATCATGGGTCGTATGCTTGATCAATCACATTTAGGGCCATCATTACTCTAGGCATGAAATAGTGAACTAAGCTAATAGAGATATGGCTCACTTCTTATCAGCACTGCATTGGTGCTGCGTATTTCTAGAGTACTTTAACAGCACTCTCATCTGTGGCTTTGTACTATATGCCATTTTGGACAAAGGTAAAGGCATTTCCAGAAGTGATTGACCAAGGATATTGTTATCGATGTGCACTGTACTTAGAAGCATAGGTAGTGCTTGGAGGATTGCAATGTGATAAAAATGGAACTAACGGCAATTTTCAAGACATATGTGATATGAATGGCGAGCCACAAGTTAGGCGAGCAAGCTGGTGAAAATTCATAATTTGGTAGGAGATGTGTGTGTGTGTGGGGGGGGGGGGGGGTTAGCACAAGGTATGATGACAAACGTCAGCACTGTGTTGTCATCAATTTGTCACTGTACTCTGCATTGACCTCACCGTGAACCTTGAATACCAATAGCAGCAAATTAGTAATTCAAATTCAAATGTTCAAATATTCAAACGCTTAACAATTGTAGGAGCTGGCTTCATAATGTTAGTCTCGATAAAATGTGCTGGAAAAGAAAGACTGTTCTTTTCAAATTCATACATCAACTGTGCGGGTATCACTGTAGATTATTCAAGAACAATATCTGATGATTGACTTGAAAGTTTCGAATTTGGTGTTATAATATTCAGGGAGACAGAAAATTTTCTATTAAAAACATTTTGCTTTTAATCAACCCAGTCTTTTTTTTTTTCCTTCAATCTAAAAGCATTTGAGAAACGACCATTGAATTTCGATTGGTCAGCTGTGAGCTTGTAGCAGCATCCAAGGTAGAGCCGCAATTCTCAATAATGTAAAAAAATGGCCTATAAAATGTGAAGAATATTGATGCTGTAGTCTAATGATGTATGATTTCACTCAATAAAATAGTTTTATTGGATTCAGAAAAGAGCTAGAAGTGCTTATATGTAGTGTGTCATTCTTAACAGGGGTGTAGAACTTGTAGGCTCTTTTTTTTGCATTTTTTCCTTTTTTTGTAACCTGGTAAAAAAAGTTATTCAAAAAACTTGTGGCCTTCACTTTAGTGCAGACAATGTTTTGAATCTCACCTACCAAGTAAAATAGTATTTTAAATGTACAAAAGTGTACTTTTACTTCTCAGAATGTGTTCATGTGAAACCACATCACTAGTTCCTGCTCCAAATTAGCAATGGCGCCATGAGAATGTGAGGTCTGTGTGTGGTGATAGCAATAACACTTGGCCAGAAATGTGGAGCTACTCTGTTAACCTGTGACTTTTGTGCAGGTTCGAGGGCTCTCTCAGTGAGTGGCGATGATGAAGACGAGGACATCTTGGGCTCCAAGAAGAAACAGAAGCGTGGAGTTCTGCCAAAGCAGGCGACAAGCATCATGCGCTCCTGGCTGTTCCAGCACATTGTGGTTAGTTTCTTGCGCCTTGCTTCCTTAGCACCCATCAGCACCTTTTTGCTGTGCAATTTATATATTTGCAACCAATCCTTGGGTCAATTCTTGTGTTTGTGCGTGCATGTGTGTATGCATACTCGCATGCTTGTTTGGGGCTTCAACACTCACTATAGTTCAACTTCCTAAGTTCAGTTTGTAGTACACAGTGTTCTTTCAGTTTCTAATATTCCTTCCGATATCCCCACTGTTCTCGGTTTCACTTGGGGCAAAATACAGAAGTGCTATCTACTATATTTAGGTGTATGTTGGAAATCTCAGTTGTTCAAAACTTGTCTGGTGCCACATACTACGGCATGCTTCATAACTAGGGATCCGCGTTTTAGAGTTCATTTTGCTTTAGATTCAGAGGGCATTTTTCATAGTTTATATTTTTGGTGAAAATTCGGCATTTATCAGAGCTCATTATTGCAATAACAATCATATAGACTCTCTCGGCTGGATTTCGGCGCCTTCGCCGCCGGTGTCATGCATTCTATATATATGTGTGTGTATGTATGAAAACACAAGAAAGAAAAAAAATCCAGAAAAAAAACTCTGGCGTGCAGAATCGAACATGGGACCTTTGTGGTGTGAATGCAAGGCGTTAACAACTTAGCCACCAAGGGGTACTTCTTTCAACGTTCAGACAGCAAGCTATTTATATCTATCACTTACCGCTGTTGGCAGGCATCTCGGGGGGGGGGGAGGGGGGGACTATCGCTGTTTTCAGTATTATCAGCAAGATGGTGGGATTACAGCAGCTCTCATATCTGCACACGTAATTTGGTTGGTGAAGAGGAGGGGAGTGGATGATCTCTCTGGCGCCCTTTTCTCCGGGTGGGGAGGATCATACGTCTTGGCTGGCATTGGGCTTGCACTGGAACGATTCTGCTGTAGTTACGAGGCGCACAAAGGTCACTGCAATCGTTGCACAGCCTCCGTTTGCAAAAAGGCCGTGCTTTTCAGACACAACGAAGTAACACCTGGGACACTTATTCGCATTCATCTGTACCTGTGAGTGCATTTAGTGCATCATTTGTGCGGGAGAAAGGCGGGGCAGTTTTGATCTGCTTGCCATTCTGCGCATGACCTTCCAATTTGTTGCTATCACGTTCATTGCTTCGCCTTTGCGGCAAAGCTGCGACTTTTTTCTCGTTACTATCCCCTTACCCAAATCTGTGTTTAATTTTGCATTATATGTAACTGTAATGTTGATTTATCAATCTTATTTTCATTTCAAATGCATTGCATTGTTGTTGGTAATCCTGTCTTCAATCTTTTTTTTTTTTGCTATTCATCAATCTTGTTAATAAGGCTCTTAACGTTCACCCTGTAAATTTGCCAAAGTGTACTTCTGGAATTCAGAAACTAGTGAAGCTGCTGCTCAGCTTTTTGACTCAGCTTCCCTCGGGATCTTGATAAAAAACAAAAGCTTTATTATTATTATTCTCAGTACTCCGAAATTTCGGATAAAATAACTAAACACTTAAGGGGGCAGACTGGTCTTGGACATTTTTTTATTTCTTCAGTGATCTGGATTATGCACAGGATTACACTGCACAGGATTAACTGCACAGGATTATGCAGTTTTTCTGCTGATTTCAAATATTTAATTAGTTTTCCTGTAACAAATCTTGTTCTTGGGATAACTTAAGTTCACCCTTTGTTGTTTAAGGCTTCCATAGAAAAAAGTGCTTTATGAAAAGTGAAGATATGCCAACATAGACTAATGACTGTAGATTGAAAATATGTATGCACGAGGTTTTTGTTTTTAGGCTTTTCTTGGTTATATTACAGCTAAATAAACTATCCATTCTTTAAAGCAGTGGAATTGTGTTACAATTTTGATGAGTAATTAATTGAAAAGGCTTGTGCTTTAAATTTGCTCCCATACTTGCATTCTACACACATACAGGTTTCCATGCAAAAAATATTATTGTTTTACCTGCCCTAACTGCAGAGATATTGAGGCAAATAATTGAACACTCTTAAATTTACTTTTTTGAGAAAATGGAAAAAACTGAAAATGCACAGCTTCTTCAAAGAGCAGCAATCATGGTGCGCATGTTTTGCAATCTTCATAAAGGGTTCATAAATTCGTAGCAGAGCTTCTGACACAGGTGCCGGCAATTATAAAGAAGCCTCGGAGTCTATTTCCCATTTTTTTCGCAGGTTCTGCATGTTAACAGCACCGAGAATCTAGACAGTTAGAATGACATTACAAAAAAAAAATTACTACTTCCTGGTGTGTAAAAATTTGCAGAGAGATATAAAAATATTTGTAGAAACCAAATATGTGAATTTAAAAAAATGAATTTTTTTTGTCACTTTTTGGTCCCAAAGACCAGTCTGCCTCTTTTAAACATGCGAACATTCTTGGTGCATTTTAAATGTCTGGAAGGTTCGGAAGCACAAGCACATATATACAAGCACAATTACTTGAATGCAGAATACGTTAGTTTTTTCTAGGCTCGTGCGAATAGTGAATTTCAGGTTTGAAGCGAATTGGAAGTGAATAGTGATTTTGGTTAAAATACCTTCTAATCGAAATGCAAGTAGTATATATATCATATATTATAAAGAAATAATATCATATTAAATATCATATATTAAAAGAAATATATATATTTTTAAAAAAACCTGAATAATGTTTTTAAAGGTGCTTTCACGGCTTAGCACTCTTTTACAACAGTGAAACTACCTTTACAGGTGGTTACATGGAGTTTTCACCTATTCGTTCACTTCGATGAATTCAAAATTTCTGATCATTTAAATTTGGAATGCAGCTGAATTCAAATACTGTAATATTAGTTCGAATGTTCGATGCATTCGATTTTGTGGATGAATTGTTTATCGGATAAATTCGAATTGTCCAAAATTTCACTAGCGAGTGTTTATGTGCTTTTTTTTATTTATTTGAAATCACGGAGCTCTAGTCACGACCTATTGAAAGTTTTGATGTGTAAATTTCCCACGATTTAATGAAGCCTTATTAGAGGCGACCTGAAATACCGCTGTGCTCAAAAACTCGCATGAACAGTGATGCTAGAATTTTTTGTAGTAGTATTGCAAGAAACTGTTTAAAGAAGACACAAGTCGACAGTTGCTTCTATTTGGTAGGGTGTGACATGACAGGTATGGCATATGTCTTCTATTGCTACTCCTTATATCTTTGTCAAGAGTTAGATGCTTTGTAGGGTGTTTTGTAATGTGTTTTTGTTTTATTATTGGCTGTTGATCCTAGTTGCAGTTAGGGCTACTGCAGAATCTACTCAAAGTTGAGTGGTAAAAGATTGTCAGTGGGTATGGAAAACCAGCAATTGTACTAGTGACAAACTGTGCTCAACGCAATGATTATGATGCTAGATTGTTACTTTCAGCCTTCCAGGGTCGATTTTTTTTTAAGAATGTGTCAAAGATCTGCATTTTTTTATTACTGAATTAAATTGTTCAGATGAATCTATTGCAGGAAAAAAATTGTCTAAAATTTTTTCGGGGTGAGTGTAAGGTAACAAAAAAAATCATTTGTGTTGTTACATACATTTGGCTTTTTCATGAGTAACAGCTAGATTAATTATAAAATAAAAGCCTATGTGACTGTTGAAAAATTGTGTACTGCAGTGGACGTTAGTGTATTTTATGGACTTAAATAAGTACACGAAGTAGTGTCCAGAGGAAACAAGACGGTAAATAAGTACACGAAGTAGTTTCCAGAGGAAACAAGGCGGGAGAATCGCCACTTTTTTTTTTTTTTTTTTTTTTGCTAGTCAGCCTCGTCCTGCCACGCATGCTTTTGAGATTTCGCTTGCTCATCAACAACTGAATGTTGACTTTTAATTAACACCTTGTATGACGGGCTGACATATTTTAAATCAGATTCTGATTCTCCATGCGAGCAGCGATTCGGAAGAATCGCTGCTATACTCGCTTTTGCAGCTGAGAAACTGGTGCACACTTTCATAGAACAAGCAAACAGCGTGGGTGAGCACACGGAAGAAACTTGTGTAGTTGTGTGGTGTGTCCGAAAATCATAAAGAAGTCTGAAACCTATAATAATCATTCATCTTATCACCAGCAAAAGTTTGTTTTTGCTATTCCTCGAAACAGGAAACTCAATCACAGCATAGTTTGTGTCAGTCAGCACTTGCATGTAAACAGGCATAATCATGTACCAAGGAGCAATAAATCATATAGTTACAAATCCTTCACCTTTTGAGATTTTCTGAACCAGAAAGGCAGCAGTTTTGCAAGCGCAACAAGCAAGAACCGGCCGAAAGACAAAATGGAAACCAGCCGGCACGTTACTGTAGTAGAGCAAGAATAAAGCAGAAAAGGAGAGGCATCGTCGCTAGAAAAAAAATTCACGTGTTCCTGCCATGTGAAGCACATGTCAAGCAAAAAAGTGAGGGATGAAGGTGTGCATTTCGAACTTACAGGCAATGATGTTCATTTATATTTTCACCCTCAAATGGTTAACTGGGGCAGAACATCGGAATACTGTATATTGCTGATTATAAATCGACCCCCCCCCCCCCCCCCCCCCCCCACTTGCAATCCCTTCTTAGCAAAAAAAAACGAATGACTCCGAACACTGCCTCATGCTGTTGCCATAGCACAGCTGTAAGACTTTCAAAAGAGGAAGTGACGCAAAGAAACATTTATTTGGCCATGAAGCACCGCTTACGACTCATCGTCACTTAAGAGAAGAATGCAGCTGTCACGGGCATTTCCATCGTACGAGCCACTGCTGATGCTTGCCATCAAAAGGGTGCTGGTGGTACTGAGTGCCACCAGCACCAAAAGGGTGCCGCTTGTGTAAAACGCTGTGTGGACCATGTAGGTTGGCAGTCCATACCAGGCATCATTATCCTATTGGCCACTTCACTCAAAAGAGCTTGGGTTGAACTCGGCTAGCGGGATGCACATATTCTTCACAGTAGTACGTGCTTTTGCTTCAATATCATCATAGCAAACACTCAGGCTTTTGCTTCTCTGGTCGTGAACACAATCTCGAACTGCCTCCTCAATGGCGGGGTATCGTCCAGACTTCAGTCCGTGAAAGAAACGGTGTGTCGCAGCACACGCGAAAATCTTTGTTTCCTTTGTTTGTGTCCTTTGTTTTCTACTTTCTCTTATGCACTTTTTCGACACATTGAACTTCCGCCATGCTTCAACGTTGTTTCCGAATATGCATAGAGGATCGCTTGCTGCTTGAAAGCAGCACTGTACTGCTGCCAGTGTAGCGGTAGCATCTTGGCGTCTGTGGAGCATCTCTGCAAATCGCACACACCACTGACTACTGTTCTCAAGCGAGGCGAAATACAGAAACAGCGAACACGAGTGAGCGCAAATTGACGTTAAGAAGCTTGTAGGCGCATGTGACTGGTCATGTAGTTTAGCTCTCTATGAAGCGTTGCCAGTATTCCTTCCTCCATGTGCCAGCCCACATGGTGCTGCCAGCTTTTCCTTGGAATGCCCATGGTGCTTCGCGGGAATCTGAATTTTTGAATTCCCCAGTCAGCGTGCCCTGTTAGGGCACGCTAAGCACTAAAGCGAGAAACACGTGTCACGTCTTTCGCAAACAATAAACTGATGGAGGCGGAAGTTTTGTAGGCCCGTGTGGTCAAATTTGGGTGCACACTAAAGAATCCCAGGTGGTCAAAATTTCCGGAGCCCTCCACTACGGCGTCTCTCATAATCATATGGTGGTTTTGGAACGTTAAACCCCACATATCAATCAATCAATCATCGCAAACAATAAACATGTTTTTTTGCAAAAGAGAGATGCATGTCAAGTTTTTCATGACAGATGAATGCATGTTACACTGTTAGTGAGCGATAAGTGCGTGTTGCATTTCTTCGCTAGCCAAATGCACTGTCATACACACATGCGGTGTGTGCTGGCGTTGTTGCCAGTCTCGCCCGACAGGCACACCAATGCGATGGTGCTACCATTGAATGACGCTGTCGGCACTGCGTCATGAAAAAATGTTGTATCTCTAACAGGCCGTTGCTGACACCTCCGACTCTAGCCACCATAGCTATACCATAGTTTCGCTGTTGTCACGGCAGGTCTTCAAAATTTCTGGGTTCAGAAGAGCACGCACGCATTGGGAGATAGCAGTTCCCATGACTCTGTTGCTTCTACAGCTAATTTTATTTGTGCGTCGAATAGCAGTAAATCTGAAGACGACCGTTCGTGGGACCTTTCGGAAAAGTCGACTTCACGATTCCGCGTATAGGTCGGCTCCAATTATAGGTCGACCGCAGAACCTTGGAGGGCTATTTTATGAAATAAATTTCGACTTATAATCGGCCATGTACGGTAACTCTTGCCAAATTGTTATATTAGTCACAATTTTTGAGGAATTACATTGTAGTATTACAGACAGCGTTGCATCTCACTGAAACTCTTGCAGCATGCATCACCGTACTTTCTCTTTTCTTATCATTTTAGCACCCATATCCCACTGAGGATGAAAAGAGGCAGATAGCAGCTCAAACTAACCTAACCCTTCTTCAAGTCAACAACTGGTAAGTCTTCAATATCGATTTTGTTTAGAACATGTGTAAGCATATATTAAGTGTTTGGCACCTCATGTCTGCTTTCACTAAGCGTAATGTGTATGAGAGTTAGCACTACTTTGATGCCTGCTTTTCTAATCTTCTGTGACTGAACTCCTAGGAAGCTTAGATTTCTGCTTTAGTAGAATCTTTTACAATGGTGGGAAAATTTTGATCATGAGATCACACATGTAGCTACCACTATTTGCTGTTTTAATAATTTGTCATGTTGGTGAGGATAGTATTGTCACAGTTAAAGAAAAAAAAGGAGCTCTTGTGTGGGCCTCATGTTTTGTTATGAATTGAAATGGTTTGTACAAAACCAATTCTTGTTGCGCTTCAGTTCTGACCGCTGCATTATATTTGTGGTTTGTGTCATTCTCAAGAAAGTGTGGTACTAGTAAGCAAAATGGTCCAAACAATAATGCTGAAACAGCAGTCTTTTAGGTACCTTAGGTTTCTTCATTACATTACAAAATGGTTGAGGCACTCAGATTAGCTTTGTTGACTTAGGAGCCACCCAAGAAATGTCTGCTAAGACCACCGAGACAAGTGGTAAAGTAGAAGCAAATGAAAGAAAATTACGTTGCTGTGGTGTAATAGCTGATTTTTCTATGAGCACCAAGTGCCGGAAAAGACATTTTCCTGGAGAAACAAGTGGCACAACTAATGTTCTCTCATAAGAAACTGTGGGGCAGCATGCTTTGTCTTCGATATGCCTGTGATAAAGTTGTTCTTACCGAGTCATTGTGCAATTCATGTCCAGGTTCATCAATGCTCGTCGGAGGATTCTGCAGCCGATGCTGGATGCTAGCAACCCTGAGAACAGCCAGCAGAAAGCCAAGAAAGCCAAAGTTCAGACGGTGCGACCTGTCGAGCGCTTCTGGCCCGACGCCATCGCAGCCCTGCAGCCTCGACCGTCAAGTCACAACGGCATGGCCCCAGTTTCTTCTCCAAGTGCCCATGGCAAGCCTTCCAGTGAGTGTTCACAGTTTCTGATGTGAGAGAAAAAATAAGACTGCAGGGGGGGGGGGGGGGGTATATACAGTTGTGTTGAACATGGCCATCTCCCGTGTGGGCAGCATTCTTGCTCGCAATCAGTTCAGTATAAAAATACTGTGAGGAACCGGTTTATTGAGCCAGGCTCGAGCTAATTCACGCTGGTGATGATATCTACAGATGTAGAAGATGAACAGGTGATGATGATATCAAAGAGAATAAAGAGTCATTCGCTTGTCGCGCTCACACTAATTCCCCCGCGCGGTGAAAGCGGCCGCCTGGTTGCTTGACAGTATTATGAAATGCGTCCCGCATAAGGCTTTAAACAAGATACGTGCACTATCTCTGTTCCTCAGCAATGATGACCAGGACTAGCGCTAAGAGGAGAAACGCGGTAATTGACAGGAGATGTCTGTTCGACCACCGTGTACAACCCAATGAAGCGACTGATGAATTTGTCGCATAGGCCGGGGAGGCGTAGGGGAGTCCATAGAAGAACTTCGTCACCAGGGGAAAAACTCGCAACACGGCGAGACGAGTCGTAGCGAGATTTTCGAGTGTCTTGAGAGAGGCCGGTGTTAACATGGGCCTGGTGACGGCAGTGTGCGAGACGAGATAGGAATTCTTCAGAGACAGGAGCCGTCGAGGGTGCAGGGGTCGAAAGGAAAGAGACATCCAGAGCGAAACTCGGCGAGCGACCATGGACGAGAAAAAATGGAGAAAAGCCGGTAGTGCGTTGAGCAGCCGTATTATAGGCGAAAGTCACGAAGGGTATAATTGCATCCCAGTTCGTGTGGTTGGGGTGACTGTACATGGCGATCATGTCCGAAAGGGTCCGATGAAACCGTTCAGTCAATCCGTTGGTCTGCGGGTGGTAGCTAGAAGTGGTCTTGTGAACAGTGTTCGAGGCACGCAAAACTTGCTCGATAATGGAAGAGAAGAAGACTTTGCCACGATCACTCAGGAGAATGCGTGGAGCTCCATGACGCAAAAAGATGTGGCGGAGAAAGAAATCGGCGATCTCAGTGGCAGTCCCAGATGGTATAGAAGCTGTTTTTGCGTAGCGCGTAAGGTGGTCGACGGCCGTGACAATCCAGCGATTCCCATTGGATGATACAGGAAGAGGGCCATACAAGTCGATTCCAACGACTTCAAAAGGCGAGGCGGGACAAGGAAGAGGTTGCATTAAGCCAGCCGGAGCAGTTGTCGGTCGTTTTCACCGTTGGCAATGGACACAGGAGGCGATGTACTTAGCGACGGCTGAAGAGAGGCCAGGCCAAAAACAGCGACTTCGTATTTTGTCTTAAGTCTTCTGATAGCCTAGGTGAGCGGCGGTTGGATCATCATGAAAGGCTTCCAGAACTTCACGTTGCAGAGAACGTGGGATGACGGGTACCCACTTGTTGCCATCGATGTGGTAAATGTAGCAACATAAAGCATCACCGACAAGCTTAAATTGTTTAAGTTGTCGACGAAGTCTGACGTTTTGAGGAGTAGTAGAGCCGGTCAAGCGGTCAACAATGGTGCGGCAGTATGGGTCGACACGTTGTTGTGAAACAAGGACGGATAGGGTGGCAGGTGATGAACTTAGCGCTGCGATTGGAGAGGTGCTGTCGTTTTGGAGTATCGATGGTGAGTGGCTTCCGCTGGGCAAAGGACAGCGCGATAGAGCATCAGCATCTTGATGCTTCTTCCCAGATCTGTAAGCGACATTGAAATCATACTCCTGCAAGCGAAGCGACCGAGGCGACCCGATAAGTTTTTCAGCGATGAAAGCCCGCATAGGGCGTTATGGTCGGTCACGACGGTAAAATGACGGCCGTGAAGATGTGGTTGGAATCTTTGCACTGCCCAAACAACAGCAAGGCACTCCTGCTCGGTGATAGTGTAGTTCTTTTCTGGAGCGGTAAGAGCACGACTTGGGTAAGCAACAACGCGTTCGCGTGAGTTTTTGTCACGCTGCAAGAGTACCGCACCAATACCATGACTACTTGCGTCGGTGTGAAGGATGGTGGGTGCGGTGGAATCAAAGTGGCACAGTACCGGATTCGACGTGAGGGCTTGCTTCAATGCCGTGAAAGCGCTTTCGCAGTCTTCGAACCAAGTGAAGGGGACGTTCCTTGCGAGGAGTTGATGGAGCGGAGACGCAAGTTCCGCGAAGCCACGTATGAAGCGCCGGAAGTAAGAAGATAACCCAAGAAAGCTGCGCAGGTGCTTTTGCCGTAGTGGACGAGGAAAATCGAGGACAGCGACAAGCTTCTCGGGGTCGGGCCGAATTCCTTCTTTGCTGACAAGGTGGCCGAGAACCTTGATTGTCTTGCTAGCAAAGGTACATTTCTTGGTGTTAAGCTGTAGACCGGCTTTTGCAAGGCATGTGAGGACTTCGTCAAGACGTTGTAGATGCTGCGAGAACGTAGATGAAAACACTACTATGTCATCGAGATAGCACGGACATGTTTTCTATTTCAAACCACGCAATACGCCGTCTATCATGCGTTCGAAGGTGGCGGGCGCATTACAGAGTCCAAAAGGCATCACATTGAACTCGTACAACCCATCTGGCGTTGAAAAGGCGGTCTTCTCTTTATCAGACTCCGACATTGGTATCTGCCAGTAGCCTTACCTGAGGTCGAGGCTAGAAAAATACTCTGCGCCCTGTAATGAATCCAGTGCATCGTCGATTCGAGGGAGGGTATAAACATCCTTGCGCGTTATTTTGTTTAGTGCACGGTAATCGACGCAGAAACGCACTGTCCCATCTTTCTTTTAAACGAGAATAACTGGGGATGACCAGGGACTCGAGGAAGGACATATGATGTTGCGTCGTAGCATGTCTGAGACGTTTTCCACGATGATCTTGCATTCTGCCTGAGACACGCGATATGGACGCCGATGTACAATACGAGAGCCGTATGTCTGGATGCTGTGAGTAGCGGTCGTAGTCATGCTGAGGGCGGGCGAGTTCACGTCAAATAGAGAACAGTGTCTATTTAACAGGGCGAGCAAATCTTCAGTTTGATCAGGTGTTAAGTCGGTGCTTATTGTTGCCGACACAGGTGTGGCAGAGGCATTGAATGGCAGTGATTGTGACTTCGGAACATCGTTGTGGTTGTTGTTCGGAAGAGTAACAATCGCAACAGGCTCACTGTCGACCGCGCAAGATACTGTTGAGCCACAGGGGAGCAGTACACACTCGGGCGTTTGATTTATGACGGTTAGGTACGTAGACCCATCGAAGAAGCGAATAAGCCCTGGTGTGGTCACAATGCCCCTACGTAGGGTATGACCGTAAGGGAGAATTAGTACGTCACCATCCACAATGTCGGTGCAATTAACACTTATAATTTCTTCGATGTATGGCCGAAGTACATAATCTGACTTGGTGACAAGGCGGATGCGTCCATCGTGTTCAAGCGGAGAAGAGTCAGTGGCATTTAGATGCAGGAGGCGCTGATGACATGATATGAAAGCGGACGCAGAAGACAAGAAATCCCACCCAAGAATGAGAGCGTGGGTGTACTCATGAAATATCGCGAAAACAATGTGATGACGAATGCCTTCTATGCAGACACGAACAGTACACTGTGCAAGTGGACGAATGAGAGCGTTGGTCGCCGCACGTAGAGGTGGGCCGCCATAAGGTGTGGGGACTTTTCGAAGGCGGGAACAAACATCAGCACGAATAATCAAAACGGCAGCGCCAGTGTCTACAAGAGCCTCAACGCGTACACTTTCTACAAACACTACTATCAAATTCGATGGCCGCTCTGGAGGAATTGTTAGCTGTCCGGTGGATGCAGTTTCCCCTCCTAAAACTGCATTGGGGAGTTTTCTCCGTGGGCGTTCGTGGAATGGGAGGCGGGCCGCAGAGGCGACACTGAACGGCGACCTGGCGAAGGCGACCTGCGGCGAGACGTACGGGAATTCCCAGGCATGTCCGTGTGGTAAGTAGGTGACGGTGAACGGTAATAGGACGATCGGGAGGGTGGTCGTAGGTAGTTCATGGTCGGACGGAAGCTTCGATGTTCTTCGGGAGCGTAGCCGCGTTGCTCGTTTTGTTGGCGCCTTCGACAAAACTGAGCGATATGTCCTCGATAGCCGCAGTAGTAACAGATTGGTCGAGGTGGGCGCTTAGGTGCGTAGTAAGGTGGTGCACGCACTGGCGGTGATAACGAAGCCACAGGCGTATGGTCTGCTGTTGTAGGCACAGAAACGGTGGGTGCGGCAGAGTGTGCGGCAACTTCGGCGTACATGCGCGTCTGGCGCACGCAGGGACTGTTGGAACACGTCGGATGCGATGCGGAGGCGATCTCTTGTTTAATCAGGTGTCGCAAGCTATCTTTTTCAGAAGGGAAAGTAACTTCCGCAGCACAGGAAGAGCAGCGCCCGTGCAGATCTTCACGAACGATGTCACGAATAAGCGCAGGCAAGTCGAGGGGTGCAGGCAAACGAACGTCGGTGGCATCGTAGCAAAGGCGAAGAGACTGAAGCTCGTCAAGTCGCTGACAGATGGTTATCACATCCTGGGTGGTGGCAGGATTTTGCGTGGCGAGGGCGTTAAAGACGACGGTGTTAATGCCTTTAATAATGTGGGCTATTTGGTCGTTCTGAGACATGCCGGTGTTAACGCGCTTGCACAGTGCAAGGACATCCTCAATATAAGAGGTGTAAGATTCACCTGGCAGCTGCGTGCGTTCAGCGAGTTTCTTCTTTGCTGCCTCAGTGCGAACTGCAGGGGCACCAAATATCTGACGAATTTGCTGCTCGAAAGTGTCCCAGTCGGGAAGATCCGGGTGGTGGTTCCAGAACCATGTTTTCGCAACATCAGAGTAGTAAAATGGGACGCTGCGCAACTTCTGTGGATTGTCCCACCTGTTCAAATCGCTGACGAGGTCGTAGTTCTTGATCCAGTCTTCGACATCATGGCCTCGGAGACCGGAAAACACTGGTGGATCACGCAGGCGAATGTTGTTGGGCGGAGCGGGTGGCGGTGGCTGCAGTAGGACGGCGACGTTGGATGGGCCAGGGTTTTCTTGGGCCGCCATGGCAGGGGGTTGTATGCGACGACCCGAGCGGAGCTCCAGCGAAATCGGGCGAGAGGACTTGAGGGAACGAAAAGCACAGTCCACCACTTGTGAGGAACCGGTTTATTGAGCCAGGCTCGAGCTAAATCACGCGAGTGATGATATCTACAGATGAAGAAGATGAACAGGTGATGATGATATCAAAGAAAATAAAGAGTCGTTTGCTTGTCGCGCTCACAATACAGATGCCTTGGCATCTCAGTTCTTGATGTCGGAGGTAAGCCTCTGTCATTTCAGATGATTCAGCAACAGAGGTGTTCCGTGTCGTGGTGTGACTTTGCTGTTCTCAGTATTTCACCAGCAGCTGTACGGCTAGAGCCAGGCTTAAAACCAAAAACTGATGTGGTTGGCAGAAAACAGTGTCCAAAGTTAACCTCAACATCAGTGCAAACTGCTTTGTTGCAAAACAGCACAACGTAATTTGTGCAGTAGCTCACAGAATTCACCGTGCCCCATGTTTATCGCAGATGTGAGGGATGATGAAATCTGTTAATCTTGTATGTTTTATGTGTCCATCTTGTGGTGCACACATTACCTAACCGAGTGACAAAGGTTGCTAGAAAAGATTGATATTTGTAGTACTATCTGCCAATGTTACTTTCGCGCTGTAGCATTTCCAAATGCCCATGTGCCTTTTTTCCACCCTTTTGTTTTTGTAAGTGCTCATCGTGTGCTTTTTCCGCACCAAAGCAGCCAGTGGTACCAGCCTCTGCTCTGAAGCATCCGATGACAGCACCTGCGGAGGGGACACTGGCCACTCGGCAGCGGAAGATGAAAGCAGGGACCATGGTACCGCTGGTGGCAGCAGTGGCAAGGCCTAGCAGCAAGCTGCTCTGCCTTTTAATCAACTACGAGCCATGCCCTGCACGAATCAAGGGGCAACAGTGCTGCACCCCTAACAATATCTCACCTAGGAATCTGATCTTCTCATAGTGGATTTTCACTACATCTTGTATGCAATTGAGCATTCTGTGCTCCTTTTGTTTTCGGTTGAGTTCTCATTGCAGTCCTCGCTCACCTTGTTTTGTGTCATGCGGCATTCCCTATTATACTGGTTGATGCAAGAAGTGGGCTTCTCTTAAATTGTGGTGTGGCTACCTCGCCACTTGTGAGATTGCCTTAGAGGTGCCTCTTGGTGAATGAAGTGCTTCTTCCTCCCGGTGAATGAGTGATCCCCAAAGGGAGGAGCAGTTCTCCTCTGCACACCTTTTTGTTTCCCTGTTGGCGTCATTCGGGGGCAAGCTTTAGTTTTGTGCCATATTGCAAAGGCATTTGTAATCTGCTTAGCGTCTAGGTGCTCCATTGTGCAGACCTGCAGTGCAGAACTTTAAAGTCATTTTCGGATAAACGTTGGTCATTTTTATTATACCATAAGGTATGAATGCTATTTGACAACATGTCATCATCATAATAACATTAAAGGTCTGTCAATCATGCTGAAAGCGTGTCCAGTGCCGCACAATGGTAACATAGTCTAGTTTTCCATGCTTTTACTTTGTTAAAATAATGCAGTACACAAACAGCCAGCTACATTGTAGAACACAGACAGGCATTGTCTTATCGTCAATAATAATGGGAATGCAATGGCCAACATATTCTTTGAACCTGAATGGATGCCATGAGAGTGTCTCAAAATTGCCGCAGGTTGGTCACTGACTGACAATGTGCACAAATTTACTTACATAAACAGCAGCTTGTTCTCTGTGGGTGGTGGGGGATGACAGCCCCTATGGTTTCATATAAATATTGGTTTTCATTGATGCATAAAGTTTCAATAGATGGTCTTTGGAGTCGCTTCAATCGGACTTGCGTCACTGCACACAAGAGAGCACGCAAAAACATATGTTGCCTTAAGGAGAGAAATGCAGCCAATTTTATTGGATACTAACTAAGGTAGGTAAAGAGATGATGCAAGTTATTTTGGTGTTTGCTTGGTGTTCACAGTTGGTGCAGTTGAAACAGAAGCCAACTGCCAGTTGAAGTCGCTGAGAGCTGTGAGATCTCGGACATGTTACCCGTTCGAATTTTCGTGTTTCTAATCTTTGAATTAATAGAGATGTTCATTAGATGTAATATAATTCTAGGTTACTTGAGTTGCAGTGTATTATAAGGACAACTACACTGATTTCGTCAAAAATTTTTATCAGGCATTGCGCTAGAAAAGATGCCCATCAAGGCTGCAAACTTCAAAACACTGCAAACCAGCATCTCTGGCTAATTTCAACTATCTAAAGTTTCCTGGGTCTTATTTTTCATTTCTTTCATTAATTTGAAAACCTCCTTAATGTGAATATGTTTCACTGAATTAGTGGCTTTGAATTAATGACGTTTTACTTGTACTTTTACTTTTGCAGCACAAATAGTTACTAGTCATGAATCGCTCAATACAGCTTGGCAGTGTAGTTTATCTTGCTTCAGCAGAAGACTCCTCGAAAATATACGAAGCATGCATTTGGTCCAAGTTACTCCTTTAATGTGTTTGTTAATCATAGCAGGTAGTTTGCTTTTTGCAACTTTCGCTGTCCAGTACATGGGCTCCTAAATCTTGCATAGCTGTATATGATCCTGCTTCTTGAGACGTCACCAAATGCAGTACTAGTTCATTCTCCTTAAACATTGCTCAACATGGGCACACATGCAAAAATGGGGCATTTTATTCATAGCAGCCTTGTAGTACACTCGTAATAAATTGGACATGGCAAATAGAAGGCCTCTGCTGAGCCCTTCCTTTCTAAGTGTGGCCACCCCCACGAATGTGGTCTTTTTGTGTACATGTGTAAAATGTTCTCCATTAAAAATGTGACTCGGAGAGTCTTCCTGTAGCATTATATTTTTTAAAATTTGTTACGACGATGTGATCTTGATGTCAATCAATTCTCAAAGTGTGCAACAGGTGAGTGAGTGAAGTTTCACAAATGTTCTTCATGCTGAACTCTGGCCTGTTAGTGTGAGGAAGGACGCGGAAGAATTCTGCTTGTTGCTAATAGATCACCGCAGTTTTAACATAGTGCCTGAATTATGTAGCAGCCGCTCTATGACACCAATCAACACACCAGGCGCCTCATAGAACATTGATGGTTTTTCTTTCGCCTTATGTATTCGTTTCATTCCCCCCGTAATCATTGTATGTGAAGTTTGTTGGTGCTGCTAATATCACTAATGTTTGGAGATATTGTGTGACACAGCAGTTATGTGAACGGGTGGCGTTTTATTAGCATTATTAAGCATGCCGTGTTTCATGTTCACGACTTTTTTCTCTCTCTCTCTCTCTCTCCTCCCACTTTCCTTTTGGCATTTTTATTGTGCATAGATTATGTTATATACAACTTCGGCATTTTGCTCTGGTAGCACCGACAGGGACTTTGGTGTACAATGCTGCACTACCATATTTCTGCTGTGTGTAACGTTTCCATTTTGTACAGTCGCCGTTCTTCTGACACCCTCACAATGCAATTTGTGTCGGGAGCATGTTTAAAACATGGGTTCAGTGATGAACCCAATAATAATTGCTCAAGGCTTCCCGGTTGAAGTGTTCTTTTCAAGCGCACATGTGTTTTAAGCATCTGCACAGTTTTGATTGTCGTTACATATCTACGTGTTGTGATGGTGCCCTTTTTATCAGTGAAGCTTTGTTAAGTTTTATTTTTCTTTTGACAATGTGTCACCTGTGTCAGTCAGTTATGAGTCACATTAGACCTTCCTTTGTTATACTTTATTTTGTGCAGATAAAAAGCAGGCTGCACAGTGCTCAACAATGTGCAAGTAGATTTTGTATTATAACAGTGCACAATGTGATCTGCGTCTTTCCATTCTGTGTGATGTTTTAATTCATGTTTTTTACTCGTGTTTTGTTTTTCTGCTGATGTCCCGAGGCAGTAGGGAAACATTTGTTTTCAATCCAATGCCCATTTTTTCACAGTTGTTGATGTTTGGTTATGTGTCTAAATAGTGCCAGGAGCATCAAACTGTAGCAAAACAAAGAATGAAAAAAAAAACTTGATGCCAAGTAGCGCAATACAGAGCAAGCATCCGAAGCAGTTGTACATTGCTGTGTTACATAGAGTTGTACAAAGCACGGGATCAAGTGCATGGCAATTTTCCTCGACCAGCCTTTTGGTAATAGCCACTGTGAGACACTGTTCTCACTGCTTTATGTGCCCAGATAATTCTGTGCGAAGCTTGGAGATAGCCACCGATGGTTATTATGTCTCCCGGTTGTTATAGGTGCGTAGTGACTCCTGTACAGGTTTTATGGTACGAATTTTGTAAATCCCACCCGAATGCAATACATAGACATTCAGAAAAAAAAAAAGAGTGTGCGGCAGACCGTAATGGTGTTGCCATTCTCTTATGCAATCTCTTTGTAATCATGCAGCCGCTAGCTGTGCTGCTGTTTCAGCCGGGAAGAGTTGGCGCTGAATTTCATTAAGGCTTCTCTGAAATGTAAGCTACTGCAACTAGGTGAGCATTCAGAAACGCAACAGCTCCGATTCCATGAAAGATTGTTCTGGGTTTTAGATGTCGGGTACTTTCGGTCATAAGATTTCATGTTTGATTCCCAGTTTATTGGTTTGCGAACGCGTATCTCACGATACGAACGAGAAGAAAATACCTGTGTTCTTTTTTTGTGCTCAAAGCTTAGGCACATTTCTTGAGTAGTGTGACATGTTTCTTTAAAGCCTGTGTTGATACATTAGTGTATTTTAGATATTTTATCACGCTGTATGCTGTGGATTTACTCACAGTTAACAAACTTTTCTTGATACGTTGTATGCTCAAGGCAGTAATGGTTGTAAACGTAGGCCATTGATCAACAAGGTGTGGGGCTGCTGTGTCTCCTGGATATAATTGCTAAGCTTGCAGTCACTGTTTCTATTCTGTGGCAAGCTGTTGCTTCTTTGCTTAGTTGCCAAGGTAGTTTTGGTGTTCTACATTTTGTGACCGAATTATCACATATTTATCTTTCAACCATTCATTTATGCCACGTTGGCAAGCTTATACTGATTACTTCAATGTAGATGTGTTGTATGTGCAAATGTCTCATGTTTTTTTTCTTCTTTGTTGGTCATAGCAGGCAGTCTTATATACCTTGCACTGTTATTGTTAACATTTCTTCAGGGTCTCTTCTAGTGCATCTATTGTCATAAATGCCATCTCATCAGTTCTTTTTTTCTCTTTATGCTACATTTTATAAAGGGTCTGCCAAATAGCAAACTGTACGATATAGCCTAGCAGCGTCGGGAGATTACCAGCAGCAAGTTGTAGGTTTCTATTTAATATAGATGATAATAAAAGACATTATTAATATACTTACGGCTCTCAGGAATTAATGGCCTGTTCATCATCCCCACAAGTTTCTAGCAGCTGTATGGGCATGCCAGAATGAAACACCCTGAGTGAAGTGAACTATATATGGCGTAAGTTTAGCTGCAGAATAACGATCACCATTGTACATAGAGAGCACGTCATGCTATTTGCCTCTTTGCATGCTGCACTTCATCAACATAATCAGACAACAGCACTGTGCCGAGGCCCCTGAGGGCTTGTTGCACGCACGCAGCAGAGAAATCACACCATGTCATAAACAGCCTACAATATTTAGAGGCTACCTTGCCGATGTCATCAACTATGCGATTAGCAGGTCTAGTATGGCCTTAGAAGTACTATTGGCCTATTTCAAGAGCACAACAGCAAAGGATAATGTCGAAAGCCTCGCACCACATCTGGCTACCCATGGTGTGCCATCACCACACCTGCCTCAAGGTCATCATCATTTGGGTAGCTTTCCCATGTTTCTGCAATCAGCCTGGTCCTGTGCTTGCTGTGACCTCGTTATTCACAAAGTTGTTAGCCTCATCTACCCACCTCACTTTTTGCCTCCACCAAGGCCCGGTTTTCTTCTCCTGGAATGCTGTCTGCTACTGTTCACAACCACAGGTCATCTTGCCTTTCCCCTACATGCAAGGATGCCGATTGCCTAATTCATAGGGTGAATATGATAAATTGTTGCCCTAATTTCCTAGCTATTACCTTTGTAAATAACTTGTGGGCATTAACCCTTTAATGCCTGAATTATGAAACTGGCAAAGAAAAGTTTAATTTTCCTGATTTAAGTATCAACTTTTAATAAATTCCCCAGTTAAATTATCAAAAATGCAACTTGAATGCATAATTTTAGCCATGTTGCAAATTCGTGACAAACCACAGAAGCGAGGATCTTGCAACCAAAAATGTGCCTCAGAACTACATGACATGTGTGCCACTTTGTGGGTGTGTATGCAAAAAAAACAATTACAGAAGTTTGAACTTGTGTCGCTTAGGCGAGAAAGAAAGTGAAAGCACGTGCTTAGCGCTCTCTGCCATCAGCTACAAAACACTTCCTTCTAGCACAGAATACTCTACACGAGACAGCGCTAGATGCTTCATGTTTAAAGCTACATTTCCTGTGAGTACATAAATGCCGGCATTTAAGTTGGCACGCATTTTGTGACTTGTTTGCCCGGAGTTTTCGGTATGTCGCCAATTCGCGACACTCTTCAGTGATTGATTAAGATGATGCATTCTTCCAAGATTCTGGTAAGTGCAAAGTAGAGAGACAATACGTATACAGAAACCGAACCTGTGACCTTGTCGGTATACAACATCGGACGCATTATTTTAAGATCGTAGGTTAGGTCCCTGCCCAGAACAAATTATCTTTTTATCCACTTTTCCTCACATTTACATTGCAATTGCTTCGAATTATAACCAGCTATGCTTTCTCTGTCAGTTCCCATTATATATACTAGGTAATGATACCCGCAAAGATTGTTGTTTTCTGCACGAATGCTGGCATTGGCTTCCTCGGCTGGAGCCAACTATCGCGGTTGTGGTTACAGCGGGACCCAGAATTCCTGTACTTTCCGCCAGTGCCGGCTCGTTGAATGGCTTCCTCTGAACTGGCTTTTTCGGTTCTCTCCGCAAGTCAAGGTAAACTCGAAATCTTGCCCCTATTCCATCGTACCTTTCCGAGCATCAGATTCAGCACTATGCCCGTGTGTGCGCACGGTACGAAGTTATCCCATATTTAGTACAAGGTATTCACAATCCGTAAATTATTGCAATGTGCGAACTCTACTTACCCCTACCATTCCTGGAACCCGTGTCGTATTCCCCCACTGCGTGCTCTCTCAACCAGTTTCTTGCCTTTTTGAGCACCGAAGCCTCCCACCAGTACTGTATGTCATCTTCTTACCTTACCAAGGGCGTATTCAGGAAACTTTTTTCTGGGGGAGGGGGGGGGGGGGGGGACGACGACACTGCCGTAATATGGTAATTTTTCGCTCAGTATGCCAAGGCCAAAGAAATTTCGGGGGATTGGTAAGGGCAGGCACAATCCACTGGTGGTGCACGAGCCCGGTGTATTATTACCACCTGACTACACTCCTGTACCTTATACGTTGCCCATGCCACGGCTTCATAGAAGCTGGCCCTCGAAAAAAGTGGCCGTCATGGTTCGATGTAGGCTTGTATCACCTTCTATTTATGCCTTGTAATGAAGCTTGCTCACAATGCATGCCACCTTTAAGGTTAAGTCCTAAATCTCGGTGGTGCAGGCATGACGCTTTTGTGAGGTGCCGGCCTACTTTTGTGCATAAGTGCCGTCCTCGTAATTTTGAGAGGTCGCGAAGCGCACGTGTTTGGTCGATTGAGGTGCATACGCACCACACGTTGCTGCATAGAAGCACAAATGCGTGCGTGCGAGGTTGAAGCGGCGTCTGTGATATGCGTGTCCGCTCGTCGCACGTTTTCAACTTCCATTTCACACAGTAACTCGGGGCAAAATTGTGCCATAAACACGACGCAACATAGCAGAAGGCCCGGCAAGGGATACAACTTTAGATGCGAAGCAACTAGATCTGACTAGCCTGTGTAACGCTGTCCGACCTTGTCTCCGTGCCAACGCACCGCAACGTGCACCCCTCGCCGCAGTTGCAAGAACGATGCCAAGTCGGTAGAGTCACAGCTGCGCGTTGAAATCACTCTCTTCCTCACTTGCCACAGCTGCTGGCTCCTCCAACCGCTGCTAATTTTTCATCAACGTTTTCGCTAAGTTTAGGGGAACACCCGGATGCCAATTTTGGCCCGGGCCACTCCACTTTTCTCCCTTTCCAACCAACGTTTCGCCTTCACTCGCTAACCCTCGAGTAGGCCTCACACGGCTACGGACCCCTGTGCTGGCGCGTCCCGCCCCTGCGCCGTCATCATTCCCGAAGCCATGGTGGATGGAGAAACGATCACTGAAGAGGAAGCCAGTGCGCCTGGCTGGATCGACGCAATCCGACACCGAGCAAAGTCATCAACTACTACCACCGGCAAGCCAGCCGTTGCCCGCATTGGCGCCCGGTGAACCGGAGCTGTGACGAGGGTTGCAGCCGCCAGCCGACTCCCCCCGCTCCCAACCGATCACCACCGTGTCATCGTTCGCCCCGGAGGTGGCCTGGATGTACGTAGGTGCAACAAGTTTAAGTTCTTGAAAGCTCTACTACTCGCTGCACGACTCCCGCCAACGGCGGCAGAGGAAGATATTGTTTGCACTAACGACACGCAGAATATCTTTGTGATCAGCACGCCGAACCTATAAACGGCCGAAACGTACGCCAAAGTGCGAGGAATTGTTCTCATGGAGCGAGAACATCCAGTATCCGCTTACATAGCAGCGTCTGGCACCACCAGCCGAGGCGTAGTCCGAGGGGTCGACGCTGACCTCCCAGACTCAGAGCTACAACGCCTGTTCGTCTCATCACATAACCCCACGTTATTGGGGGTACGACGAATCAAGGATACAACCACCATCATCCTTCTCTTCGATGGACTTAAAGTCCCAAACTATGTGCGGTGCGGCATGCTCCTGCTGCGTTGCACGCTCTACAAGCGACAGATCGACACCTGTCGCAACTGCGGCCGCGTCGGGCATCGAACAGACGTCTGCCCTAACCCATCTGAGAAAGTGTGTGAACACTGTGGTATCAAACCAACCGGACCTGACCATGAGTGTGTGACACCCGAGTGCGCGTTGTGCGGCCAGGCCCACATTACGGGCGACCGCACATGCCCAAATCGCTATCAAGTCCCTTACGTCGTTCGACGTCGACGCCGCCGCAGACGCCGGCGTAACAACAACCAACAGACCCAAGGAGACTCGGCCACGCAACAGCCGACGCCCAAGCAATTATCCCCGACTCCACCGACGAAGCACCTGCCTACCACCACCAAGAACCCGACTGCAACGCCTACTTGGGTCGATCGAGTCACCGGTAAAGCTGAGACTGGCGGTTACGCGCGGTCGGGTAACTTGCCACAGCATGAAAACGATGAGATTCGTGAGCTCAAACGCGAGCTAGCGTTGCTGCGCAAAGAAAACGAAGAATTCAAAGCACTCGTTAGAAACATGCAGCAGCCGAGTGAACGCGCTGTCGAGACGCCGACGGCCGCCGCTCCGGCCGTTGAACGCGCTTCCACTAACTCGTCGAACGCTAATCGCGCTGTGAAGCGTCGTGCGGCCGACGATCCCCCGGACGAGCCCGTTACTATGTCTAATTTCATGGAGGCACTTGCCCGCCTACGCGCAGACATTGCAGCAGACCGCGTTGCCGATATGACCCCACACGCCCTCCAGCTCACCGAACTTCACGCCCGGTTACAAATACTAGAACAGCACGCGGTGGTTCGTGCGACAACCCCTATGCAATAATCATGGCTAACACAAGCAATCTTGTAATTTGGCAGTGGAATTGCTTTAGCTTTCCCAAGCGGAAGGCAGCCTTGCAACAATTCATTCAATGTAGTGCCAATCGGCCTGCCGTAATTCTATTACAAGAAACGCTGACCGCCGAGCCCGTTTTGCGTACCCATAACACCGAAGCGGACCATCGAGCGGGGACGCGTGGGGTAGCGACGCTCATCTCCAAAAAGTACGCATATGTTCGCCATGAGGTCCGCCCCGATCTCAAAGACGAACACATTATGATAAGAGTTAATTCCAAACTCAATGCTTAAACAGTCAGTCTTTATTCTCAATGTATATAGTACACCCAAAAACAAACAAACTACATTTCAGGGCCTCTTTCAGCGAGCGAGCAAAATTGCAGGAGACCATATTTTAATAATCGCTGGAGACTTTAATGCCACACATCCCAACTTTGGGTACACCGGCTCTTCCCGTAAGGGAAATGCCCTGGTAGCGCAAATGCACGCATATAGACTCACTCTCTTAACCGATCCCATTTCCGCTACACGGGTAGGTAACTCGGTTACGCGTGATAGCACC